TGAGAAACAGTAGTAGGAAATCGTGGCACCAGTACTTGCTGCTGTGAAAAGTTATAGCCTCACATGATCATTTCTGACTTTGAAGTGTGAGTTGGCTCTAGAACACAGCTATGCAGAGCTTTTTATGCAGACAGCATGTGACTTTTTTCTGTGAACCTTGCTTTGAAAAACAGTGCATGAAAACTGGCAAACCCTAAAACCTGATGAACCCATGAAAGCATAATTTGGACAAGTACATACTTGTGCCATGTATCCAAGGGCAAGATCTATTTGACTTACACACAGCATAGTTCAGATGCTGCTCCCTGTCAGACCAGCTAATTTCTAACATCCCTGCCCAAGCTAATTTGCTTCCTATCAGCCTCCATCTTTAAAGCCCCAAACTGACAGGTAACCAACCACTTATTGATACTCTTTGGGAATAACCAGTCAGTTCTGCTCTTCTCTTCATCAGCCAACGCAACAGGTTACAGTGCTGCATTTCCAATCATGCATCGGGAGCCTTTGGAGGAAATCTTTGGAAGGAAGGTTCCAGGCATGGGTGTGCTCTTGGTGCTTTAACCAACATGCAGTTTTGTTATTCTGAAGAGGAGGCCCTGGCACATGAAGCTGATTAATTCTTTCCTGTTTTTTGAGGGATTGTCAAGGTCTCTGTATCAAAAGTAGACAGCTTGACCAAGGAAATCTCATATGTTAGGAGAAAGTGGTGACTTCTGGCAGTGGGCTGAAAGTATGTATAGCAATCCATCATGAGAAGTTTTGAGAGGGAACAGGACATTCACAGGAGGTGTGAAAAAGAAAGGATTTAACACTACCCTATTGCACAGCCAAGTATGTTCTTTCCAATACAGTATTTTCTACAGCCGATGCACAGAGAATTTTCACCACTTGTAAATGCTTGAGATCATATCTATCATGTGCTTAACTGAAGTATTTATCACCTAAGAACACCTTTAAAAATATCAGAAAGCTATAATTTTTGAAATAAGAAATGTCACCATTATTATTCCTACACAGTTTATATGCAAATATATGCTTGCCCCCAAGCTTGAATTCACAGAAAATTAAATATAACAGATTTTTTTTCCCCTTTCATGTATTTTCCCCCCATATTGTGCAATAAGGCATTGCACAAAACTGGCATGTCACTTGTACAATCTATAGTCATTACAATACAATCTTAAATGCTGAATCAGAAACCCTGGGATATCTTCATATTCAGTGCTAATTGAATAATTTCTGTGGCTGCTCACCAGCTCTGCACTGTGTCAGGAAGCTGTGTAGAAATATTAGTATCATAGGTCTATGCCTGGTGCAAATGAGAACCACGTCAGAATCAAAGGGATTTTTGAGTAGTTATTACTTTCTCTAAATCCATAAACATATACAAATATTTGTTAGAAGTAGAAGTGACTGTTCACCATCCATTTTATTGATAATGGAAGTGATCTGATTTAGCACAGCTATAACAATCATGTTTTTATACGTATTATACAGAAGTTATTTGTTTAAAAACCACAACACAGCAGATCACCTGAGACATTGCTCTTAAAAGAGAAAATATGATCATTATTCATAAAGCTATTGTCAGAGGGCATAAGTGGGCTCTCTCTATGCGTCCTAATGCCTTTACGTGCTGCTCAGCTGAAGTGCAGTGCACTCATTTCCATCTGGGTTTCTAGGGTAAGAGGCTGCTTGGATCACCAGAGAACTGGCAGAGACTGTTTCCTAAGCAGCGTAAGGAATGTCTGTTAGAAGTAGTTGTAAAAATCTGTGCTACAGGAAAGTTCATAGTTTGCAACAATGCCTTGTGTTTGTGGTACAAAATGCCAGCTCTGTGCCACGCTGTGTGCTGGTGCTGTATCTGTTTAGTGTTTATATACAAACAATCAAAGCACTCCTGTAACCACGGGACTGGGTCATGTCCTGTCTTGTTCATTGGGGAATTAATTGTACTTGTTTTAGAGTTAGCTGTTAAGGAGATTAGGAAGGTGAAGCATAGCAGGGTGGCTGTGGTTGCATGGCAACTGGAAAGAACAGTAACATCTGGTATTCTTAATTTTCTTAGAACCTATAGGTCTTTGTGCTATTGTGTATTATTATTTCTACAACCATGCCTCATTTTTGTTATTTGTTAGCCAATAGGTAATGCCCTTGATGTTACCAGTTGACCCAAGGGCAAAGTTAGATACAGCATTGGATGCTGTGATGTTAAAGCCAGCTTCCTAATTGCCAGGCACAGTTAGCCCCAGAGGACACTCTCCAGCAGCAGCAGAGAGGAAAAGGTCTTTCCTCACAGGAAAGACTGGCTTTGAGGTTAGTCAGCCAGTGATGTTAGCTACTTCAGCACAGGGTGTGTCTCCTGAAACAATTGATCTAGTTGAAGTTTTGTTTACTGTCCACCTGCAGGACTATTTCTTTCCTTTTAGGAGGGCAGGGAACCAGGCCATCTGTCACAAGAATGGCTCCTAATAGGAAAACTGCATTAAGTGCACTTTAGCTCCTCTTCCTTCATAATTTCCCCACTTGTGCCTCTGCATGCTTTATGTTTTATTTCTGACAAACAAAGGAACCTTTTTAAAGCAGTGCTTTGCTTCATTAATTTTTGAAATAAAAAATCAGTAAGTAATGTGATGTCAAGTGTAGACCAGACTGGTTTTGCTCATCTGTCTTTAGCATTTGACATCACTCTCCCACCACATGGCTTTCTTCAGTGGTTACTTTAAAAGAAAAGGAGCAACAGGGTTTTCCAAAGAGCTTCCCACTAGGGAGGTGCAGACATTGGGCAGACTCAGCAAGTGCAACAGCTCTTGGCTGGTTCAGAGCCTTGGAAAACCTTTCCTGGTCTTGCCACACCAGGGACAAAGCCTATTTTAAGCTCTCCTTGCCTCTGTGTAGGCACCCAAACCAGCCCTTTTCTAGGGCAAATCTACTGATTTCATCAAACCTGACTGACACTGGGGTTTTGGAGAGCAAAAGCTCAAAGGGAGGGTGAAGACATGCCCCACACTGCTCAGCACCTTTCTCCTCTGGACTCACTGATCTGCTCAATGCCAGACAGAAAAAAGAAATGCCAAAAGCATGCCAAAACCTCTTTTTCAGCCTGAACCCATTGCTGGAAAGATCAAGTACAGACCTGGAGTTTTGTGAACATCAACCAGGAAATATTTTCTTCAGTCAATGAACTTCAGTGAACCTTGTGTGTGCATTTGCTTGGCTGCTACAATTCTCATTGTCTCCCAAGAAGCTGTTGAGAGCACTTTGAAAAAGCTAATAATTGTATAAATGTGGCAAAATAATTTATTATATTATAGAATATTGACTAGACTAGCAGATTTTATAGCTGATGCATAAAAATTTCCTTTTGCATATTTTGCCTTTAAGACTTCATTTTATAAAACCACCTTTGTAAATCCTCTTTTGCTACTTCCTATTCATCCTTTTGTTCAGATCTTTTTGAGACTCAGCCCAGATTAGAATTCATCATGTCTAAAAAAAATGAGATGCTAAAGGTATTCTTTCTTCAATGTGCATCTCCAGCCTTTCTTGACAGGCTGTCAAGAAATATGTCTCTAAAAAGCCAGGTTAGATCCTCAGAGACAACCAGTGATGCAGTTCTTAGTAATGTGCTAAAACCCAGTCAGAGTGCACCTTATTGTTGCTGTGTGCAGTGATGTGACATGTGAGTTATTTGTTTGCTCTGCCATAAGATAGCATTAGGGGATATAATGTGAACAGATCACTCATTTGTGGAAATATTTATGGTGCTGCTTTCGAGGGATCATTCAATTCGAAAGCAGATGGCAAAGCATGGATATTCATGGACTATTTTAAAAGCTATCTTAGGTAAAATGTTTTCACACAGAGCAGCGAAAGCCTGTAACATTCTGATATTTTACAACATTTATTACTTAATGTTTACATATATTTGCAATAAATCTTCATAAGTGCTACTCAAGCAAGAATTTGCTAGTTCCAGTTTTTATTACAGTATATCCCATGAGCTCTTTATTGCTCAGGCCCCTGACCCTGCAAATATCTACACATGACTTAAATAACACTCAGTGAGGGGCGGGGAGAGGGGCTACTGTGTTCAGCAGTGTTTCTAGCATGGCAAGCTCTGGAAACATGTGGTGTATGTCAAGATTTTCAGTTATCTGGAGACTTGAAACCCCCATCTCATGACAGCTAAAGGAATCTAGCTCTAGAAGTGATGATTTTGTCTGCTCAGAACTGCAGAATCCTTCTAAGGTGTAACTTTGAGCATCCAGAAAACAAATATTTTTAATGATGATATCCAAAGGCTTTATTATTTTGCAAATAAAAATTCAGGTAAATGTGATGTAGCTGTTGTGATAATTTCATGTAACTCTTGCCCAACCACTCAAAGCTCAGCTTTCCATGGTTCAGTGTTTCAAAAGAGAGGAGAATAAAAGTCCACTATTCGTGTTCAGTTGGAGGACTGGCCTTTTTCATAGAATATGTGATTTAGCATGTATTGAAATGCCACAAATTTTTCAACCTCCTGATTGTGTTTGGTATCCCTCACGCAGCATTCCCTGGGCTGCTTCTTCCTTACTGCCTTCTGCTCCTTCAGGAACATCCACATGCCCTTTCCACACGGTGGCTTTAGAGATCCACACCCCGAAGTTTGACATAAAAGTAAAAAAACAGTATCAGAACGTACTTTGAAATTATTCCCTCAGTAAAAGGTGTGACACAGCACTTTGCTTTACCCATTTCAGCTGTGTTCACTTGCAGTGCTCTCATTCTCAGCTGTCTGACATTTAAGATGGTCCCCATTGCATGGAGGTGCTTCAGGTGTGGGCTCTGTGCCTGCTTTGGGTGGGTTCTGGCCCTGGGTCCCAGCTGGGGCTGCTTGGGTTTTGCCCACTGCCCAGCTGTTAGCAATGCACAGAGGAGCTGTGCCAGAGCCCGATTGGTTGGGATGGGCACAGCCTGGGGCTTTTCCCTATGCCTGGAGTGAGGTGGGGATTTCACTGCAGCATAGGAGCTGTTCTCAGTATGGGGCTCTCTTCAGTTTTGGGTAGGATCCTTTCTACAGAATGGAGCTGAAGTGAGTTAAGCTACTACAGCTGTTTCCTATGCAAATGTTTTTTGAAGTGCTTGGTTTTAATTTTTTTAATTGTTTTTTAAAATTTATTAATTTATATTTATGGCTCTAAAGATACGGAGATGTAGTGCTGGGTGCGGGTCAGGTTCTTTAGGTTGTGGTCTGTCCTGTTTCTGGAAAACTACTGGTACTGGGGTTTGACTAGCTTGAATTTTGCTGAGTTGAATCCACTGGTCCCTGTGCTGCTGGAGTATCTTCAGATGTTAGAGATATTTTTTTCTTTTTACTGTTTCCATTAGATCTAGTCTTGTTATATCTCTTATGGTAATGAAAATTATTGTTGGGGTGTCCCGTTTCTTCTCCCTCCCTCATCCACCCCAGCCCCAGTAGTTATTTCATGTTGAAATTGAAATAAGGGCTGTGACTGGATGTAACCTTCTCACCCTCTGTGGGCTGTGCTTGTTCTTAAGCAGGGTCTTTGGGAAGAGACCATCCTTTAGACCTCCATTTAACTTAATGCTTTATTTCTATCTTTGTTCTGCAGCCTCACAGTGCTGGTCTCTTTACTCTTTCTACTCCTTCAAATTGGATTGTTCCTCAGCTAACAGTAAATGTACTTGGTGCCATAGCAGGAGCAATATTTGCTCTGGGAAATACCTTGCCATGAGCATTCAAAGGCTGATGTAGAGTATGTACTTATATGCATATGTATGTGGTGTTTATTAAAATGTGCTTCAGTAAGTATTAATAATGGATACAATGCTAATGTTTGTTATGGGTTTTCAACCCACTGGGGAAGGTGGAGTATAAACTATAACTTGAAATATTTCCCTGTTGAGAAATAGGTGGATTACAGTTACTGCAATGTGCTTACTTTTCAGGAAAACTATTAGTTAAATCTCATTAATGCTATAAATTGTCTGAAGGAGATAATATGCCTCTGAAAAATGCTCTTGGGTAGGTAAGTACTCGTCTACAGCCATATTAACAACATAGCAAAGATGGAAGCTGTTCTTTCTGACTTAAATACAGTATCTCTGTTATCTGCACATATAGAAAAAGACCTGGATAGAACAGACCTGGGATTTTCTGTCCTTGTTCACTTTGGCCCAATGTGGCATCGATTTTTGTAGAAAAAGTTGGAAGCTTAGATTGGCTAAGATGGTATGCAGAGTTTGTGTGCACTGTTTGGATTAAATTATTTAAACCTGGCTACTGCCATAATTCATGCTCTGTGGTGGTTTGTGCTATGAAAGCCTGTGAAACATTGTAGCAGGACTCTCAAAAATTCCTTGTCTTGCCTGGAAAAAAGAATACTAAGGGGTGAAAGCAAAACAAACAAATGAGACTCAGGAAAACTTACTGACTCTGCACAATGTTGAGGCAAGCAGTCTGTGGTAGACTTTAAATGAAACAAGAACACAGGGGACTATATTTAATTTAAACACCACTCATCCTAAAATAACTTAACCTACGGAATGATTGCTGTGCAAACACTGAAATAATATAGCAGCGCTGTCACTTCAGTCGGTATTTAATAGTCTCTGGCCAATTTCATTATTAACACTTAGAACACTTCATGAAAAGTGATGAAAGTACCGATACATAACCCGTACTGAAATCTCTGAGATCCCACAGAACATTTTTGTAGCTACTGCCTGACACTTCTCAAGGGGGACTGTGAATGGTTCTGAACTTGAGCTGTTAGCAGTAGATGCCAAAACTCCTCTTGTTTCAAAATTGCAAACAAAGTAGGTGAAATGGGCTCCTCATAGTTTTGCTTCCATGTGGCTTCTGTGGATACATAGTAAGGGAGATGAAGTGTTTCCTCCTGCTATTGCAAATGATTGGGAATTATTTTTTCTCTTAATTTATATGAAGATTATGCTGATATATTGTACTGTCTTGAAGTTATATTGAAGGAACAACCCAAGAATAACTACCAAAAAAAGACTGTAGCTGCAGAAAAAGTGCCTGCAGTTCTGCTGTTAATATTTTGTTTGTACTACCCTGTATTCCAAAAGTTCTTTTCCATAACACAGATCCATCCTGATCATTGTCGAAAGAAACAGACTAGCCAAAATTATTATAATAATTTATATTTGTGTGCATATATAGACATTGTAATTATGGTGCAAGTATGAGAGAGTACCACTAAATTTATTAGAGTTCCTGTGGTTTTATTTTTTTTTAAATTCCAGAAATTACTTCTCTTGTAGTGGGGGAGAGTGCGGGTTTCTGCTTGTGTTATCACTGGTCTTGGTGGAGATGGTTGATGTAGCTGTGGCTGGGTTGATGGTTATTGTTAGTAACAGCTGGCACAGGGCTTGATTGTTGTCTGAAGGAGCCAAAATGGAATCCCTAGAGAGCCTGGTATTTCCTTAGTTCCTGGCATCAGCTCAAGCTGTAAGTCACAACCTTCCTATGCTGAATTACAGCAGCTGAGAAGTTTGTGTACTTCCATTAGTGACAGATTAAGCAGCATTAATTTGAACCTGGAGATCGTAATTTTAGGTGCACCTGTGCTGACACCTGGCCTGGAATAAACATTAGCATGTAACTTCTGGCCTTCCAGGTGAGAGAAATAGATTGGAAACATGAGGTCATGTTTCTCTGTGGTTAACATGCAGAAAACCCCTTGGAAAGGACATTGCTTTTCTGCCTCCTTCAAGTTCTATAAGAATCTAGGAATGCCTCAAGGCATTTGACTGATATTGAGTGGTCATCTGAGTTACTGTGTTCTGGTCTGAAACTTCTTCCATGAAATTGCAAAAACATTGGTTAAAAGGATAGGAGATCACTAATAACTGAATTTTAATAATGAATTCCTAGCTGAGGTGTCTCCACTGGGCACCTTGGTTTCTTTTTCTGGACAGATAGATTTCAGATAACAAAGAAGGTGAGAGAGTGGCTTGATTCTCTTTTCTTTTTTAAAAAAAAACAACCTGTAACATCTCCCCACTGTGCTTCTCTTTGGTATCACTTGAATGTGACACAAACTATGGAATTTGGGAATCTACAATGTAATGGTGCTGAATATCTACAGTCCAGATATTGGCTTGGTTGGACTTTTAGCTGATGTTTTGGAAGTACTCAGAGGTAGGCCACATTTAAAAGAAAAATAATGCTTAGAACTTTTCCAGATTTCATATAATGGTTAGGATATAAAAAAAATAAAATCCAAATGAGCTTGAATCTTAGATTAATGTGCACTTGTGTGTTCTTAGCAGTTGGACTGCAAGAGCCCAACATTTGCTGTGCCTCCCTGCATGCTTCTTGGTTCTCCTGGGCTGTCTGGCTCCTGTTAAAAATGAAAGCTTGGCAGAGTTGCTTGCAGCAATAAAGGATTATGGGATCAGCTCTGTAGTGTGCTGACAGAGAGACATGTGCAGTCTGGCTCTTAGGGCTGCTGCTGGCTAAAGCACAAGGGAGTTCTTGGTGCTCCAAAGCAGGAGAGACAGGTTTGGTGCTGGCCCAGTGGAAAGGCAGGTGGTGGATCTGGCTGAGGACCTGAGATGGGGTGCAGGAGGAGCTTGGTGCCTGCTCTGGCCTGTGCTGGGAACTGGGAGAGGGCAACAGGAGGCCACTGCTTAATCTTGTTCGGTTCTTAGGGATGCACCAACTAAACTGGGCTCGTTCATTTAGTATACTATTAAAGAAGTTGTCTTCAGGGTATTTATTTCAGGCAGTTCTAGTGAAGTAATCCTTTAATTCCTCAGAGTAAATGCTGATGAGGATTTACCGCAGACTAAGCTGTGTGGAGGTCACTGTGAGAGTGGTTAGAGTGTTTGGGAGCAGTGTGGCTGCTGTCCCTTGGAGCTGGGCGGTGGGAGCTGCAGGGTGTCTCCCCAGCTGACCCACAGCAGGGCTGTCCTCTGGGGCTGTGGTTGGGTGCTGTGTTTGGGAATGCTTGTGTCTGAGCCTGGAGAGAGGGGCTGGTTCTGCTCCAACTTTGGCTGAAACCACTACTTCTCTAAATGTTCTGCTTTTTCTTCCTGTTGTGCACGCTGCTCAACCTTCTCTCCTCTGCTTTGATCTTTCTTTTCCTGGGTCATCCCAAATAGTGAGAGAAGGTCCAGATGAAACCATGGTCTTAGACGTACAATTCAACTTCAGCACAGTTCTGTCTATATGCATTATTTTGTCCACAAAATCATAATGGTTTCTCATTGTTTAGGCAGTGATTTCACTCTATACCAAGGGTATTCTGCACTTAGGAGGCCAGGCCAAGGCCTCTTCCACTATGTCAAAATGGATGTGTAAGGCTTCAGTTAGATAGGTTTGCAAGTTAGGAATTTTTTTATCCTCATTTTGGTATTGCTGGAGCAAGTCAAAAGAAATCTGCATGGAGCTGCAGCCTGTGGTGAGCAAATGAACTAAAAGGAACTGGGACTTTACTATTCCATTCAACTCCTTTTCCCAGGGGAGCTGGTTTCCTGGGAACACCAGGGCAGTGCTGTTGAAGCTGCATGACAGGAAAGCAATGTCAGTAAAATCTTATGCCAATATTTTAGATGGGAAGCTGGTTACAGAATGTCATTTGGTGTTGAGAGTGATGAGCTACCTTATAAAAAAGGAAATGATTGCCTGCAGTAAGTGAAAATGAAGGTCCAGTAAGTAACTTGCTTGCTCTTGAAATTCCTTTGGTCATGAAAAATTTGTTAGTGGCCTAAGCATGGCTCTGGTCTGAGCAGGTACTCCTGGTCTCTCCCCAGCACTGCGCCAACTCCCTCTGTAAAACCTTCCTCCTGTGGCTGCAGCATTATTGGCAAAAAATCTGGTATTGGAAGCTTGTTCTTGGATAATAATAAATCAGGACCTGAAAGTATTGGAAAAGCAGAGTTGCATAGAAACTTGAAACTTTTAGCTACTTTTCTTCTGTGGAGGAAAAATTATGAACTTTTACCCGCTTAAAGTTATTAAATCAAAATTTAAAATATCCTTTACTAATAAACTGGGTTCTTTCAACTTCTTCCATTTCTTACGTCAGACATGGAGCTGCTTTACATGGAAACATTTTGCTAGAAGTAGCAACAAGTTATTATGTTTTCTTTCTATAGACAGAAAAATATTAGATTAGATTTTTTCTTGAAGTATATTTGAAGGCACTTGAAATTTTAAATTGGCTAACAGAGCACTTTAGTTTGAAATGTAATGTACTTTTATATATAGCTAAAACATACAGGGTTTGCATTATTTCTGAGTAATTGTAATCCCTGGAAGATCCCATAGTTGAAAGAGACTGTTTTAGTTTAATACTAGAAGCTCAAATGTATTGAAAGCATCTGTTCTTCAGTTTAGAAATAGTTTGACCTGGAAAATAACAATAAACCTTGATATGGAGGGGAAAAGAAAATATTTTGATCTAGTAAGAAAGAAGTTTCATGAGTTCTAAGTACCAGTAGTTACCCTTATAAATTAGAATATTTGTGTGCTGTAATCTGACATGTCATTGTGTTTATAAAGCTTGTGACATGGCTTAGTACAATGTGTTGTATTTAAAGTTGTCATTACCCCATGTCATGAAGTAATATGAATAATAAGGATAAAATTATATGGAAGGGTTTATTGAAAAATATAATTCAACATGAAATAAAATTTTAAAATATCCTGCTTCTGGAAATTGTTCTGAAAGAAAAATGCAGATTGATGCAGGTTGAGTGACACAGGACAATGAATATGGGCACGTTCCTGCAGCCTCCAAATATCAGTGTGGTAAAGGCTGTTTACACTTCATAATCTCAGCAAAGGGTGAAGTTTAACCTTGTGGGAGTCACTGGCATATTCCCATTTTTATATCACCTATTTTAGTGAGGTGAGGATTTTGGCTGTGGCTCCAAAATGGCTTTGTCTGAGCGTTTCCCATTGGCCTTGTGGAAGAGGGTGCCCAGGAGGCCCCATTTCTGTGGGGATTGTGGGCTGTGCTGTACCGTGGGCAGTCATGGCAAAGCCTGGAGAATG